TGAGTTTTAAAACCACGATTATAAGATGGAAAACATGATATAGATGAGATGGGACATTACGGTTATAAAATAATCATCTTATTGTGACTTTTTGTTTTACTATTTTTCTTTTATGTAATGTTCTTAACTTAACGAAAACAAATCTGATAATTTCTTTATCTAACTCGAATTAAAAACGACATGAAACTGATATGAATTCTTCTGATTATGAATTAAATAACATTACTTAAAAATACGTTTACAAACTTAATCTTGCACATATGTAATATATTGAAATCAACCCTGCACGCACGTATGTAATACAAACTTTCGAAATCAACCCCGCACGTATGTGCGGGTTCATCCCTAGTTGTCATTAAAACAAGGAAGTGTTTATTTCTTTCTCGTTAGTTAAAGTCTCTCGTTACTCTAATTTTTAAGCGGATAAGTTGGCACGCCGAGCGCGTGTTGAACCGATACTTTGTCTCTATGTAAACAATTTTCTAAACTCTTGGTTCAATTGAGTCTATTTATAAAAGCTGTGGACAAAAAAATAAGAATAATTCTTTTTGTTATAATGACAATTTGAGTTAAACATAATCATGCTAACAAATTTACTAAAATTAGAAGTAATAAATACTTATTGTACTGTTGTAAACGTTTAACCGTTAATCTCAGATTTTTCTAATTTTGGTTTAGTACGAAATGGCTTGAAATCTTTTTGGTTAAACCTTAACCGTGATATGATTGACTAGAACAATTTCGGATTGGCTTGGTTGGTTTAAAATGTGAAATTGATTTTAAAGTTTTTTCTTTTTCCTTTTTGTAACATCGATTCTATGTTATAGCAAGGTATGCAGAAGCAAGTTTGTGCTCAAAATGTGAGAAACAAAATGGTCGAGTATTGTATAATGACAAAAGACTTGTTTCTTATTCGTCCCCACAATTGTAAAACATAACAGAAGCTACATGTTTGATTTTGAAGTGATCTTCTCCACCTTGGATTAACTTGTTCTTGAATTCATTCTTCATCCATCCTACTCTTAGCTCCTTTAAAGTAGTGATGTCTCTTAATCTACCAGGAAGACTCTTCAACTTTCTGCAGTCATTGATCTCTAAATGACAAAGACACGACATTGAATAGTCTTCTACGACCCACTCTTCAAGGTTATCAAGTATTGAAAACTCTAGAGTGTGCAATTTAGGGAAGCCGGCTTTTGAGCATACCATTTTCCTCCCTGTGAAAGCATTAAGTTCTAGACTAAGAATTTTTAAGCTATGTAGCTTCTCAAGAACTGGCATTGGATCCTCGGGTAGGTCACAAGAGGATAATGAAACAAAAGCGATCCGGGAAGGGAATTGAGCTTCATTAGGTAACTTATCTATCTTTATATCTAAACTTAATTGGTTGAGTCTTAGAAAACTTGAAACAAAGGCTCCTGCATCGATCTTCATGGCTTCAGCCTGGTCATTTATTTTGTTGTATAACATCAACTCCTCCAACTGTTTCAGTGATGCACCGAGCGAATAAGGTAATACTTCCTCTTCAGGGTTAACAGAGGCACAACAGATCCACAAAGTTCTGAGTTTGGTCATATTGATGAGATCTTTAGCGCTACTGTGCTTTAATGAAAAGTTCTTGAGGGTCTCCAACTTCACTAAAGCACTTAGCTCCAACTTCGTTTTAGAGCTTAGTTCGTCGGGTAACATAAGATATCTCAGCTTCTTCATCTTCTTTAAGACGTTTGGTATGTGAACCATTGTCTCGTAAATCTCCAAATCCAAATAAACCAACAACACTAGATTCCCAATAGAAGACGGCAACACAGACAAGTTTGTCTCTTTCAAACTCAGGTACCTCAAGTGTATCAGCTTCCCTATGCCCTTAGGTAACTTGCGTCTTCTGAATTGTGCTCCAAAGAGATCCAATACTCTAAGTGATTGTAAACCTCCAAAACTTGGGGTTGATAATATCCAAGGACTGAAATCTCTAGTGATATACAAAAGGGTCCTTGCTTTGGGGTTTTGAATCTGTTTTTGCTGAAATATACAAGGTTCATTTTCTTCAGCATCAACCAAATGTACAGCGAGTCTGCGTGATCTGTTGGTGGATACAGTTGGTGACAGAGCGTTAGTAGCATTCGAGACAAGGATCTGAGCACTGAAAAATTGTATGAAATTCTCTTCTTTAGCTTTAAACAAAGAAACTTCTCTAACAATATCATGCAGACGACAAGATTCAATTCTTGATGTCACAGTGTTCCTCTTCCCAACTAATACCATACTCCTTTTAACCAATTCCTCCAGATAATCCTCAGCTAGATCTACGATAGTAGTCTCTTCACTATGCATCATCACTATTCCTTCTGCCACCCAGTAATTGAACAATGTCTCTGTTTGTATCTCATGATCTTCTGGGTAATGAGCAAGGTAGAGAAAGCAATGCTTCAAATGAGAAGGTAGATCTTCATAACTCAAAGATATCACATTGCATACCAAACTACCGATTCCGCCATTTTCACCAATCTCTCCTACAATATGAGATCCAATATTGTTGTGTACCTTTATCCACTCGGACGCTGTACGTTTTGTAGCTAACAACCCTCCAAGAGTTTTCACAGCTAATGGTAACCCTCCACAATGTTTGAGCATTTGTTGAATCTCTTCGAATATATCATCAACCTGAAACTCTACACACAAAACATTAGTCTCTTAGCTCATTCTTTTTAGCGTTTAGATTACCTTTCAAATTTATCTTTGGTTTCTTGTATAGTTAAGGGCATACCTATATCGTTTCTCTCAAACAAAGCTATGTTTTGAAAAACTTCCCAGCTTTCTTCATGAGTTAAGCATCTAGGCCTAAAGATGACGGATCTTAGATCTGGATGCAAACCAACACCCTCATTCCTAGAAGTGAGTAATACCTTGCTAGCTGGAAAAGTTGACCATGTTTCAATATTAGACACCAACTGAGACAAATGCTTTTGAATTTCAGAAATATTCTACATAAAAACATTATGATTCATGGTCAAGAATCACCTGATCTATGTGGAAATGCTGGCTTTATAAGCTCCCAAGCTGCACTGCTCCATAAATCATCAAGGACAATCAAGCATTTCTCGATTTCAAGTAGTTTAAACAGCTCATCTTGGAGTCCAGACACTGTCATATCCACAATTCTCTGTTCCTCACTTTTCGGTCTAAGGCTCTGTAATATCGCCCGCCACACATGTTTTTGTCTACACTCCTGTGAAACGAACACCCAAGCGAATCCACTGAAATAGCGCTGCACCATCTCATGATGAAAAACTTGTCTAGCAAGAGTGGTTTTCCCAACACCGCCCATCCCGTATATTGAGACCACTTGAACACCATTCTCTCCAACAAGATGACTCACTAATTCTTCAACACTACGCTCCACACCAACAAGGCTGCTTTCAGAAACGCTAGGAAAAGATTGTCGTATCTCCACAAATTTACCAACTAGTTCTTCTTCTTCTTCTTTGTTGATGATCTCTCTCACTCCAAATCTCTCCATACTGTCTATTACCTTGGAGATTCTAGTGATAATGCTTCTGATTTGTAAACCAAACTCCTGGTCAGAAAATGTAATACAAGAAACACTCCTTAAATGCTTCTTAATCCCTCTTTCTCTTCCACACTTTTCTTCTTTGATAAGAAAACTCTCGATTATGTCCTCAGCATCATACACAATCTCTACAATCTCATCCACACAGTTTCTCACTCTCTCACTTTTACTTTTCTTAGTTTCTGCATCTTTCACAAACGATTTGAGCCTTTTTAAGTCGCTTTGTAGTTCAGTAGCTTGTTTATGGACTCCTTTTAGCCGGTTGGTTTCTCGAACTAGAAGCTCCCATAGCTTCTGCAATCCAAAAGTTACAACTGCCTCGGCCATTCAATAGATGTTCCTTCTGCATCGACATAATAATCACCAAATCCAAACTTCAGTTTTATTCAATTTCTTATAGATGAAAAAAACAAATGATTCTCCTTTATCTACCAAAAATCTTGAGTTCAAACTTTAAAATACCAACAGTGAAATGATGATGAGTCTCTCGATCTAATAAAACTAGGAAAGAAAAAAAAAATAGAAGCAAATTTTAGAGTATCAGAAAATTCAGTTCATCCAAAAAGAAATGTTCTGATTAACTCGAAAAAATCAAATGAAACTTCCCATGACTCACCCTGAAAGGAAGCTCTCTCAGCTTATAGCTCCTCGCGGCACCGAATTATTTGATCTTCAGACAATATTTCGAGAAACCCAACACAAGAGTTGCTTCTTTATTATCATCACGGTTCACAAAAACTCGAGCTGTATGAAATCGTTATTGACTTATTTGGGACTCTACGGCCGAGAAAATTATTGGAGTAGTAAACTAAGGGGGTGTTATTGGATTCTAACTTATAAGAAATTTAGATGATTAGTAAAATCATTATGATTGTTTGAGAGTTTAAAGGATTGTTTGAGAATTTTCTGAAATCTTGTTGATTAATTTTTTTATAGTCTTGTAAAGTCTCACAAACAATCCATGTATTTATAAGATACTTTTTATGACTTTATTTTGTAAAAAAAAGAGTTTAAAATCATAAACCAATAACACAAAATTTTAATTCATTAACACTCAGAGATTCTTTTGTTTTAATTTAATAACACATAAACTTTGTAAAACTCCAAATCCAATAACCACATATTTATTAAGATTTTAAATGAATTTTTACAAATCAGTAACTAATATCACCAAACTTTAAAAGAATTTAGTAAAATCTTGATTGAATAACAACATATTCTACCTAACATCTAAAGTCATTAATCGTACAAAAAAATAAACATCTAAAGTCATTAAAACACTCCCTAATTATGCTTTTACGGAATCTTTTCAACCAATACCATGTCGCCATTTGTTTAGCTTTCTGTATAGATAGCCGTACCTGATTATTCTCTCCTCCTTGGTCGTCTCCCCTATTACGGCATGAGTGTATGTATGTTCAAAAACCCTTAAACCTCGACCAACTGATCAAAACGCATACATAACTCCGTCATCTTCCGTCTTTAACTCCAAAATTCATTTATAACTTTTAAGCAACTTTCATTTCATAGATCACATAAACTCGAGAATTTTGGAATAGGCAAATGTCTATATCCCTAAAAATTTCCCACATTTCAACATTCTCCAACGATAGGTTCAATAGTGTAGAGCTGCGAAAGCAATGCAGAGCCGGTCAAAGGTTTGGAATTGGGTCGATTTGTTTCCGTAGAAGCCCTGGTGTTGAATCTAGACGGATCCATTTGAACTCGGACTTGTCTTCTCGGAATTTGAAACTCCGATGTGTGGGATCGGATGTGCTTACCGGTGAAATCTCCGGTAGATCAGTACCGGAGTGGGCTTATAGCGGCTTAAAGGATGAGACTTTAAGCGATCTGGAGCCGGAGCTTGATGATGGTGATGGCGGCGATGGGGATGGGAATAATGACGGCGGTGGAAATGGTGGTAATGGAGGCGGAGGAGGAGGAGGAGACGGAGAAGGCGATGATGGAGAGGATGAAGCAGATAAAGCTGAGGAGAAGGAGTTTGGTCCGATATTGAAGTTTGACGAAGTTATGAAAGAGACAGAACGTAGAGGGATTACGTTACCGGAGGATATGTTGGAGGCGGCTAAATCTGTGGGGATTCGGAAACTGTTCCTTCTTCGTTACCTCGATCTACAGGTTTTTGCTTTTGTTAAAATGTGCTAGTGATTCTTATTTTGATTATAAGTGTATGATGTATTCATGATTGAGGGTTAAAATTTTTGTAGGGTTCTGTTTGGCCGCTTGGGTTTCTGATGAGGTCATGTGCGATGCTTCGAAATAGAATGCTTGCAGATCCTTCATTTCTTTTCAAAGTTGGAACCGAGGTTTGTCAACGGTTAAGCTAACATTTTTCTTGGACTACTTATTTAGGATTGTGTCCAAGGATTGAATGTGAAAGATCTTGTTCTACGGATTTAATGCAGGTAGCCATAGACTCTTGCTGTGCAACTTTTGCAGAAGTACAGAAAAGAGGGGAAGATTTCTGGTCAGAGTTTGAGCTGTATGCTGCTGATCTTTTAGTTGGTCTTGTGGTTGATGTTGCGTTGGTTGGATTATTGGCTCCCTATGCACGTATTGGGAAGCCGTCCGTGGCATCATCAACAGGTTTATTCAAGGACCTTAGACGTGCTTGTGCATCCCTTCCTAGCAGGTAAGACTGTCACTGTCTCTCGGTTGTTTTTTTTTCTTCACTTATGGCTCCAAGTAATGTACAAATGGGTTACCTGTTCCCACTGGTGCTTATCGGAATGGGTTAACTGTTCCCACTGATGATGGCTGCATATTCGGGATGAGATGTATTTATACGGTTTTTTTGTGTTCTTATGAAGTGTTTTTGAAGCTGAAAGACCGGGATGTAAATTCTCAGTTAACCAGCGCATTGCAACGTTCTTCTACAAGGTATGGAGAAGAACTATTGCTTTATTGTTCTTTGTGGATCATCCTTACCTTTGATTTAATTTAATCGATGTGTTTCTTTGTCTAGGGACTCTTGTATGGGTCGGTTGGATTCGGCTGCGGCCTCATCGGTCAGGGAATTGCAAACCTGATCATGACGGCAAAACGGTATTCTTTCACCATCGAGCTTATTTGATCTGAGTTTATGATGAAATGAGTCTTCTGAGTTCTGAGTTTCTCTGGGGTTTGGGGTTTGAATGTCTAAAAACTGTTCTTCACTGAAATTTGGGGTTTCCTATGTCAATAGGAGTGTGAAGAAATCAGAGGAAGACGTCCCTATTCCACCTCTTTTCGAAAGCGCTGCTCTATGGGGTAAGCTTTTCTTTTGATCTCTAACTTTGTTCTGCAGAGTCATGATAGCTTTTCTCCTCTGATGTTGGATGTAAACGACTCTGATGTTGAAAACGACAGTCTTGAACCGTCAATATTGTGTTGTCTTACTCTTTTTACGAGTTCTTGTTATCAGCCATAGGTTTTTTTTTAACCTGTCTTAGCTTTTAGAAAGTAAAGAACCTTAATTGCCAATGATAGATACCAAGAATTGATTATGCGACAGATTCTGGTGAAAGGTATTAGCTAGATTGTTATGTTGTTTGCAATATTAGATTTATGGACAGGGTAATTTAATTACAGAGCTCAGAGACAAACCTGAAGTTCACTCTATGAATTGTTGATTACATAAAGACTCACTCTCTTCTCTATATTGTGCTTTTCTTCAGGTGTGTTCCTTGGCTTATCTTCCAATGCGCGTTACCAAATTGTCAACGGCCTCGAACGCGTGGTGGAAGGTTCTTCCGCGGCCAAACGCATCCCTGTGGTGGCCATGGCATTCACGGTGGGAGTCCGGTTTGCTAACAATGTATATGGCGGTATGCAATTTGTAGATTGGGCCAAATTGTCCGGCGTCCAGTAGTAAACCAGCCTAGATGTTTCCTCCGAAGATACTAATCTGATGGGGGATGTTGGTTATCTAAATATCGTTAATGAGATTAGTAGTGTATTTTAGCGAGAGCTAGTGAAAGAATGTGGTCAGTGAGCTGTACCGGATTCTTCTAACCGGAATACTCGAGACAACAAATTTCGATTTGGTTTTTGGAAGTTGAGAATCTCATGGAGTTTAGTTTTCTTAATCGTAGGCATAATGCAATACTCTTGAACATTTTATCAGCATTTAGCATCTGCATTTTATAAATAAATAAAGTGTCCACAAAATATTTTGCGAATTACGTCGACTAAACGTCATTTTTGGCCTTTTTGACGTTTTGACTTTTGAGTGTGTGACTCACTCGTGTAATTTTAGAGACATTTTTTTCCCTTTCCTTTTTACCTTTTTCCCCGTAAAAAAAGTAAGAAGTTGGAAAAGGAGAATTTGTTGGTATCAATAAATAAGTAAAATAAAATTTTAAAGCAAATTAAAAAGGAAAAACGATATATCATATATTGCTTGCAAAAAAACAAAAGAATCAAAATATTCTTAGGATACTTTAATGGCAAGCATCATTTGATATTAGATGTAGGGATCTTCTTAGTGACAGCTTGGTCACCCCTGTCATCCAACTGCTACTAAATGATGATCCGCATCTTTTTTGTTCTCTTGTTTCTGTTTTGTGCCCCCCTAATACTATTTTTACTCCCATCATTAACTTTAATATTCCAATTAATCTATATTCCTTCAACTGTAACTTTTGTGTAAATTAATAAAGTTTATAATCACATTTCGTATTCAATAATCCGAAACAGACAAAAGAATGAAATACATATTTCTCCAGACCGACACAATTGTATGCCTACTCGATTCGGTCCCATAAATATTGTGGTGGGACAAAGCTTAGCCCATATACACAACAACGGCATGACCCGACCCGAGCTAACCCGATTTCTCATCGTAAAATTGAATGCATTCACCGCGACAAAGTAAAAGTGAAACGAATTAATGAGCTGCAGTAAATAAAATATTACCCTAGAGGGTGCAAGGAGACGAGTTTTTGACAAAATAGTACGCAAACTTATAAATTATCAAATTGAGTCCAAAGGCCTAGACGCGTAATTTTGTTTTTTGACGAGTCAATTTAGGATTTTCCAAAATTACACAAAAAAATTAAACAGTCATTAGTTGTAAATAAAGAAAAGTATAAGTCGTCTGACTCTCCCCCGCAGGCTTCTCTCTCCTCGTGTGCAAAGATCACTCTCTCCTTTTGAATTTTCTTCCATCGGAGGTGTCATTATTTACGTTTCTGGATTCGGGTTTCGATCTCTGCTCCCAGCGAATTTGCTTATGCTTCAGCTCTAGTTTGCGATTTTACTTCCTTGGTAGATCCGGTTTGGTGAGTTTCGATCTGCTCCGTGTGAGGCGGCGGAGGACGGTGGATCTGCGGGACTCGGTTCCACCATGACCGGAATGAGAGGTCTCTCAGTCTTCATTAGCGACATACGTAATTGCCAGAACAAGGAAGCCGAGCGACTCAGAGTTGATAAAGAGCTCGGGAACATACGTACATGCTTCAAAAATGAAAAGGTTTGAGGCTTCTTCTCTGTGGGCAGTCCATTATCTTCTTTTTTTGTTTTATCTGTATTATATTCTCAATTGAGAGTGGTAATTCAGTGTCCAAGTATCCCTTGAGGTTCTGTATTGATTACAGATATGTGAGATACTTCTCCTTATGAGATTGTTTTACTTAAAAATTAATTAGAATTCCTTATGTTAGAGATGAGGATAGGTTGATAAAAGGAGTTAGAGAAGAATGTAGTTGAAACAAAGATGCAGTGTAGTGTTTCCGTTGTATAGCTAGCCATTTTATTACTCTTTAAAACATCATTACTGCTTTCTAATGGAATGTCGTGAGTATATTTCAAGTTGATAGATGGAAGACTATAAACTATTCTATGTTTATTTAAGAACATAATTATATTAGAGTGCTATAAGGAAAGAAAGGCCAGGCAGTAACTTCGGTTATGTAGTGATGGTCTAAGGAAAGAATGAAGGGTTACTGAAAGATTTACAATAGCTAATTAAGAAGAGTTATGTTGATGTCGCGGTGAAATTCCGGTTCCATACCATAAGTAGCAGAGCTGTAGCCGACCTGTAGTGTCCATGTGTGGCCAGTTGGACCAACACCAGATTTATTCGTAGAAAGAGTTTCATTTTAGAAATGAATTAAATGCACTCTTTGATTACTTTCTCCTCGTTGTTTTATATTTTACAGGTTTTGACACCATATAAAAAGAAGAAATATGTTTGGAAAATGCTTTATATACATATGTTAGGCTACGATGTGGATTTTGGCCATATGGAGGCGGTTTCGCTTATATCTGCGCCAAAGTATCCAGAAAAGCAGGTAAGTCGATGTTTTGTTTTCTCAAGAAATGAAATATTGCTTTCTAAGGCTAGGAGAAGAGAATAGGTGGGGGTATTTCTCTGATTCAAGTCTAGTGATTAAGCTCAAAAAAAGAAAAAAAAAAAACTCAGAAGATAGTGGAATGGTAGACTTTGATACTATTTCACGCCCTTGCAACTTATTCAGTTTGGATGGCCTTGGTATAGTATTGGAGGCATTTATTTATATGCATGACTTACTTAGTAACTTCTTAGCAACTCTTAACCAGGAACTATTCTTGTATCCCAAGGGTTTGCGTTTTCAATTTATATTGTTTTATGTTCCTGACCTAATTTGCAGGTATTAAACTTTTCATCAATGATTACAGGTTGGCTACATTGTTACATCTTGTTTGCTCAATGAAAATCATGACTTTTTGAGGTTGGCAATAAATACAGTGCGGAACGATATTATCGGTCGGAATGAGACTTTCCAATGCCTAGCACTGACCTTGGTATGTGGTCTCTTGTCCATACTACGTTGAGATCTTACAGCATAGTTAGGTCTTTCTGATTAAGAGATGTAGTTAAATGGCTGTTTTAGTGAAAGTCTTTGAATACATTATGTCTTTCGTGCTCTATGCATGATTTAAAGCCTTTTTACTACATTAAATTGGTATTAGTTTTTCCTAGCTTTCTTACCTTGCCATGCTTTCTCTGTCCTGTAGGTTGGAAATATCGGTGGAAGAGATTTTGCTGAGTCATTGGCTCCTGATGTTCAAAAGCTACTTGTAAGTGATTCCAAAGGACGACAAGCTATGGGTTATATTCAATATAAGTGAAAATATTAAATGGGGCTTGTTTGCTGCAGATTTCTAGTAGTTGCAGACCTCTTGTAAGGAAAAAAGCAGCATTATGCCTACTGCGATTATTCCGAAAAAATCCTGATGCTGTCAACGTGGATGGCTGGTATGTATTAATACTCTGGGGTTACTGGTTGTTTGGTTTTACTCGTGCATCTTTCATATATCCTCATCGTCATGTATATTCAGGGCGGATCGTATGGCACAACTCTTGGATGAACGAGATCTTGGTGTCTTGACATCCTCTACAAGTCTTCTTGTAGCTCTGGTATCTTATAATCATGAGGCGTACTCAAGTTGTCTACCTAAATGTGTCAAAATATTGGAACGCCTTGCTAGGAACCAGGACGTCCCTCAGGAGTACACATACTATGGCATTCCATCTCCTTGGCTGCAGGTTTGTCTTAACCCAGCTTATTTAGTCTTGTTTAACATAGCTGTATTTTTTTTAGTCACATCTTTTTCCATTCCCCTGCTTTTAAACATTTTATGTGAAATAAGCCTATAAAGAGGCTTGACCCAGCTTTGGTGTATTTTTGTTGCTCAGTTAAAGGTACCTTGGATACTTATATATCTGTGATTAGTACAGGTTAAGGCAATGAGGGCTCTTCAATATTTCCCAACCATTGAAGATCCCAGTACCAGAAAAGCTCTCTTTGAGGTTCATTTTTTCTTGTGTAAATCTTTAAAAAAAAATTTTGTATTCTCTCTCATGACATTTCATGGAAATTTCAGGTCCTTCAGCGAATATTGATGGGAACAGATGTTGTAAAAAATGTGAATAAGAACAATGCATCTCATGCTGTTCTGTTTGAAGCTCTATCCCTGGTAAGTTCGTGAAACAGCTGAGGAAAAATTTGATGCCATGAAATTTACTAGTGCACCAATCTCTATCCCATTCCTCTTTACACCTCCTTAACTTCTGGTTCAATCACATTTACTCAAAACAGAATACTAATGTGTGCTTGAATATTTTAAAATATTTTTTTGGCTTTGCTGGAGAAACTTCGTGTGTTTGAATTCTTTGTCGGTTCTTATTCTTGTTTGAACGTAAATAATATTACTTGCTCTGCGTGAAGGTTTGACACTATTTCTAAGAGGTTTATCATGGATAGTTGTGAGTTTGCTCAACAATCTCTGGCTTAGTGTGCAACCTCCTAACTTGTTAATCTGTTTCAATATAGGTCATGCATCTTGATGCTGAGAAGGAAATGATGTCACAGTGTGTTGCTCTTCTTGGCAAGTTTATTTCTGTCCGGGAACCCAACATCAGATATCTAGGCTTGGTAAGATCTCAGATACCCACTTCCTGTATCTAAGCCTAGCTAGAACAGTAACTTGTAAAGTGTTTGGTGGTGCACTATGTGGCTTCTCATGATGCATGTATTGAAAACATTGCAGGAAAATATGACACGAATGCTGATGGTCACAGATGTTCAAGATATCATAAAAAAGCATCAGTCTCAGATAATCACCTCCTTGAAAGACCCTGACATCAGGTTAGTTTAATTTTCCATCTCAGCATCAGCTTTTATGGCTTGTGAACCCGGATCAGTACCTCTTTAATGCTCTAGTTTGGAACCAGAACAACAATTTTTTTAATCATGAAATCAGTCATAGCTCTATTATTTTTATCTTAAGTCCATTAGGTATTAATCCTATTCCCGTTGCAAATTGTGGCTTCTGTTTCAAGAATAAATAGTTTGATTTATATTCTCTTGGCTCTTTTGCTAATGGTATCAGATTCACTATTGGTTTCAACTTTCTGCAGTATTCGTAGACGAGCTCTTGATTTGCTATATGGGATGTGTGATGTGTCAAATGCAAAGGATATAGTCGAAGAGTTGTTGCAGGTAATTCTTTGACCTTGCTTCATATTGATATTTTCTTGATTTGTAATCTCCTTATGACTTGTGAAGTTTAACAGAAAGGAAGGATTAAGTTGTGTAGTGTTTAAGCTTACATGGAACCTAAAAATACATTGCAGTATCTTAGCACAGCAGAGTTTTCTATGCGGGAGGAATTATCACTTAAAGCTGCTATCCTA